AATAAAATGGTTAAAAAAATCAGTTAACATGAATAAAAAAATAGTCCGGTAAATTAACAAAAATGTATCTTCAGACTGTCCAAATTGTTAAAAAAGAAGCAAGATAAGGACGAAAGAGCAAGGAATACAACACTAAAAAACGAATGGGAAGTAGAGGGGTTGCGTTTTGATAAGCTTTCCTCTTATCACGGTCCCATATATGAATTCAACATTTTTTTTATATCTTTACGCCCATCTTGTCTCAGGATTATGGGTGGATGAATAAAGGTTGACGACAGACCCAAATACAACGCGAGATTATGTGGACCCATTTGATCAGGACACCGAAATTTATTACTTACATCAGATAAACGGTTTAAATTTTACTACTAAAAGAAAACTAAAAAATGATTACAACTGTGTGTAATTTTTAATTATTAAATTTTTACATTTAATTCCACTAATTTTCGTGGTTCGCCTGAGCAATTAATATCTCACGATAGCTCAAGTGGTAGAGCATCGGCGTTTCTAACCGAAGATTGTGGGTTCAAATCCCGCTCGTGACACCAACTTTTTTTATCTCAACTAAAATCCATAATTCATTGAAATTTACATTAAACATTTTACATCTAATAATTATACTTACAATAATATCAAAGATAATGCGAATTTTTTTTAAAGGAGAAAAAATATTTAGTTCCATAATCAAAGTTTCGAGAGATAATCTCCCTTTCATCAAGTTTTTGGTACTACTTCTCAAGTGTTTTGTGGTTCAAAGATATCATCATCTACTTTAAATATTAAAAATGACGGTTATGTTATCACAAGGCTATTTAATAAGAAATATGTAATGGTATATTGTCAAATAATAAAATGAATTTGACAAAAATATAATTTGAAGATTTTGTTTGTTTATATGGGTGCGAATACCTTTCGCTTTACCTCCTCTGCTATTTCTCTAGCTCATTTGTCCTCTCATTACACTCGCTTTCCATTTCTCCCTTTTTCCTTTACTCTCTATCTCTTTTTTTCTCTCGCCTAAACTTTAAGACTATTTTGGTTTGTTTCCTTCTCTCACTAGATAATTGCTTCTATCTCTTTTTCTCTCTCTCCCTCTCTCTTACTTCCTTTTTTATTTACTTTCCCTCTTTCTTTTTATTGTTTTCATTCACTCACTCCCTTTTCTTTTATCTTTTTTTTCTCTCTCTATCTCCCTTTCTCACTCATTGTGTATTTGTCTCGTTTTTCTCTTTTTGTTCTATTTTTCTTGTTCGCGTTCTTCGTTCCTCTTGATGGGGTTTTTCTCTCACTCTCTCTTAAAAAATTAAAAACATCTTAATTAAATCACCCGCTTTTCCGTTATTTTTCTCCCTTTGTGTTTTGTTTTATTTTCTTTAACTTCTTTTTCTCTTTGTTACTAACCCATTTATCTTGCTTTTTCTTTTCTTTCTAATAACATGATCTAAAATAAATCCACTTTCACTGTTTCCCTTCTCACCCTTTATTTATCTGTCACTTTTTCTCGCTCTCTCTCTCCCCCTAACCCTATCTATCTATTTCTCTCGCTCTTTATTACTTTCGCTCTTTCTCTTCTCATTTTTTCTTGATTCACGATCCTCTTCTGCCCTTTTCCTCACTCTCTCTATCTACCTCTTCCTTCCCTTTTTGTCAAGTTTCCGCATAAAAATATAATTTATAAGTTTATCTTATTCTTCCTTTAATAATTTACTTCAATGTTGATTTGACAATATTTTTGTTTCATTTTAAATCTGATGCGAATATAAACGAAATCATAATTGTAAATATTTATTTACACGTTAAGTGTAATAAATGTCATAGAGACCTCAATTTTTCGTGTATTTGAACAGATTGTTGATCCATCAATCAAATTTCTTGCTTTTTAACTCCCTCTCACGCTTTCTCTCTCTCTCTCTCTCTCTCTCTCTCTCTCTCTCTTACTCACTCTCTCTCTTTTATTTTTCTATTTCTCTCTCTTTTCTTATTATTTCTATATAACTTTATCCAAATCTCTCACTCTTTCTCTCTTTCTATTTCACTTTTTCTCTCTTGCTAGCCTTCTTTTCTTTTTCCTTCTTCACCTTTCCTCTCACCCCTCTCACGCTCTCTCTCTTCCTCTCTCATTCACTTTCTCTCTCTCTTTTATTTTTCTATTTCTCTCTCTTTTCTTATTATTTCTGTATAACTTTATCCCATTCTCTGACTCTTTCTCTTTCTCTATTTCACTTTTTCTCTCTTGCTAGCGTTCTTTTCTTTTTTCTTGTTCGACTTTCCTCTCACCCCCTCTCACGCTCTCTCTTTCGCCCTCACTTACTTTCTCCCTCTCCCTCTCTCTTATTTTTCTATTTCTCTCTCTTTTCTTAATATTGCAATATAACTTTATCCCATTCTTTCACTCTTTCCCTCTCTCTATTTCACTTTTCTCTCTTGCTAGAATTCTTTTCTTTTTTCTTGTTCACCTTTGCTCTCACCCGCTCTCACTCTTTGGCTTTTTGCTTTTTATCACTTTTTCTTTCTATTTCATTTTCCTCTTCTTACTTTGCTCTTCCACTTTTTCTCACTGTCATTCTCTTTTCATCTGCCTGCACGATAAAATGTTATATCCAATAGCAAATGTATTAAAAATAAATTCATTTTCTTTTCAAAATTAACATTTCAAACTTCCAGCCTTGATACATGCTCTGATATACAGTCATACAAATTATATTTCTCAATTAATTCTCTTAACATTTTCTGAAAGATAATATAAAAAACTTGAATAAATTTAAGTTATAATAAAAGTTTCCTAAAATATTCCTTTTTTCCAGGATAATCCCAGCGCTGCCTAATCCCTTAAAAACCGACTCGCAAAATTTCACCCTGTTCATTTGAAGGGTTGTATTTTAAAGAAAAATTTATCTTTCTAAAACTTACTTTGTCACTTTTTTGGAAAAGGTTAATTCTTATCCATAAAATATTATTTTAAAAATTATAACATGCAATTACGCATATATATTATATATTGACTATAAAGTGTATGCGTTAAACTATATATCACTTACGTTTTGAGTTAATAATAAACAAACAGTCATAGTTTGTAAAAAGGTAGAAAGAAAAGCGCCAAAATAAAACATTTGTATTCTTTATTACGTTTATGTTATTAAAAGTCAGTCAAAAACATAAATGCTCGCGGTTTAAATTTATTGCCATACAGATATTAAATTGCGCAAAGAACCGTGTTTATAATAAAAAAAATTGTTTCTCGCCTTTTTCCGAGGGAAACCTCCTCAACATATGTGACATGTGAAACTTCAACGTAATAAGAACATGCTCCCTTTTCCCCCTCATGAATTTTTAACGGACATTAAATGTTTTATTAACAATAAGTATTACACTTTGTCTGTCTTTTAAAGTGTTAATAAAAGTTAAAATATTGTTTGCTTATTGCTTTTTTTTATTATTATTTTTCCGATCAAAAGTTTTTAATTGTTTCTCATTGTAACTTTTTCAATTTTAAATTAATTTTTCATTGAATTAATAAGGCTTTTAAGTTGAGATAAAAAATTCGGTGTCACGAGCCTGATTCGAACCCACGACCTTCGGCTTCATACGCCGCTTTCTACCACTTGAGCTATCGTGACTTCGATCCCCTCGGGCATTAACTTCCCATCTCAACCCCACCTTTTGAATTTTCCCTCCTTTTTGCCATTTTTAGTTAGTGCCCGAGTGGATCGCAGTCACGACAGCTCAATGGTGGAGTAGCTGCGTATCAAGCCGAAGGTCGTGGGTTCGAATCCCGCTCATGACATTGACATTTTTATCTCAATATAAAAACCTTATTAATTGAATGATATTAATTTCTCAAGCGGACCACGAAAAATAGTGAAATTAATTTTTCCGTAGAATCTTGTGTCATAAATAAAAGGTGAAAATTTAAAGAAATCAAATCGTTAGGTTTGATTGCTGTGTTTTGATTGTTTCAAGAGATGTTATTCCATGACATTTAAATAATTTTAGATTAGCAAAAATTTGTATTTTTTTCTTAAACAAAGAATTAAGTAGAAGCTTTTTTTAAATAAAAACTAAATACATAAATTAAATACTAAATATTATTGGCTGTGAAAATAGACAATTCATTTCATTCAGATTTTAATTTCGTCTGTGACGTTTGTATCTTTAGGTATTTCGTCAAAATGAAAAATGCAAATGTTATGATGTAATTGAGTAGAAGAAAAGAATCGCCACAATTTCTCTCAGGGTAGACGACCCACGAGATTTATCAACTTGAGAGGGTTACTAAATCCGGATAATCCTTAAAGTTTGTAACGTGCTGATATAATAAAAATATCCTTTGACATTAGTTGCTGCTTGGAAGAAAAAAATAAAAAATATTTAAAAAATTATATCTGCCTGTGGTTTTGTAGCGTTACCGTATTGATTACTGAAAATAAATCAAAATTATATGAAAATTGACTTTTCATGACAAAAAAATTAGATACTAAACATGCTAGATTATTTATTATATTGAATATGTTTCGTTGATACTGAAAATGATTCTACCAAATAGGCAGGGCTGTCAAATATGACACTGTGATTGTAAATGTTAATAGATATTAGGAGAAAATCTGAAAAACATCGAAAAAAGTATATGCTATATACTAACTACTACTTCTACCAGCTATGATTTTTACATAAAATTGACTTGATTTGTGTCTTTTAACTACGTTGTATCATAAATAAATACACGACAAAATTTAAAAATTTGTTTAAAAAAAGCCACATGCTGACAATTAATAAATCATAAATTCTTCTTTATATAAGTTATAGCTAAAGGTTTTAAAATAATAAGCCTTCTACAAAAAATCCTTATTTTTGTAAAATCTTTTATTTTTAAAATTATATTTAGCATATATATTAAATATTTTATGTCTTATTTGAACACGATACATAAATGATAAAGCATTTTTTTGTTGGGGAATTAATTTATAGATAAGTTAATAATTCGTTAGGTAAGGTTTTCTTGCCTGTAGGGCGATGCCAGGAATACGTTGATGTGCCGGCGCGAAGGGTGAAAAAGGGGTTGCTCTCGCGAGGCTGGCGAACAGCTGACTGAAGCGTGGTTCATCGTGCGGTTTCCACGGTTATCCGACAGCCTGAGCCACCGTTTCCGCCCCCTCCGCAGAAGGCGGTCCGTGTAGTCGGTGGGTTTTGGACCTCGGGGGTTGGAATATATTTGTATGTTTGACATGGCGGTCGATTGAAATTTAATTAGATTTTGTTTTTCTCTCTGTATCATGCAAAACCGTTCTAAAAAACCGTTAGAACTTTGAAGTATTTTCCTTTAGTCAGGAAGTAGCTGAAGGTTAATAAGCATTTCATCATATCAACCTACAGCTGCAATATCTCGATGTGCATTTTGGTCTTCCGTTTTTTAATTAGAAGTGAGAGAGAAGAGAAAGGAGAAAAAGGGATAAATAAGAAAAGTGGTAAAGAAAGCGATAGAAAGGTAAAAACAATTTCTTTCTCTCTCATCCTCCCTTTTTACCTTTCACTCTCTTCTTTCTCATCACTTTATCTCCCTGCCCCTCTCACTCCTCTTCTTCTCTCTCTCTCTCTCTTTCTTTCTTTCTTTATTCTCTTTCTTATCGTATTTTTATATCTTCCTTGTTTCTTTTTCCTATTTCTCACTCCACTTTCTTTTGTCTCCCTCTTTTTTCTGCCATCACATCTACATTACTTTCTGCCATACCAATTTATGTCCTCAATCTCTTTCTCTCTCTCTCTCTCTCTCTCTCTCTCTCTCTCTCTCTCTCTGCAATTGCTTCTCTCATTGTTCTTTATCTTATTATTTCTCTTACTCATTTCTCTCTCTCAATCTATCTACCATCTATCTATCTAGCTATATATATATATATATATATATATATCATCTATCTACCTCCTTATTTTTATTTCATTTGTGTTTTTTTAATTTAACGTAATTTGGCTGTTTACTATGTGTATTGTTTTTTTTGTTTGATTATTACCTCGATTTTTTTTCTTTCTTATTACGTTTGATTTGGGTTTTACAATATCTATATTATTCAATTAATTAAGTTTTTTAGTTGAGATAAAAAGTCAATCTTACGAGCGGGATTCGAACCCACGGCCTTCAGCTAGATACGCCGCTACTCTACCACTTGAGCTATCGTGACCTCGATCCACTCGGACACTAACTTCCCATCTCAACCCCACCTTTTCAATTTTTCCTCCTTTTTGCCATTTTTGGTTGAGATAAAAAAGTCAGTGTCCCGAGCGGGATTCGAACCCACGACCTTCGGTCAGATACGCTGCTACTCTACCACTTGAGCTATCGTGACTTCAATCCGCTCGGGCAATAACTTCCCATCTCAACCCCACCTTTTGAATTTTCCCTCCTTTTGGCCATTTTTCAAGCGGACCACGAAAAATAGTGAATATCTATAGTTCTTTTTTTTGTTTTGTCTATGTTTAATATAGATATTTTTTCAACATTTGCTGTATATGTTTATTGTCTGTTTTTTATGTGTTTCGTTTAAATTACTTCGTCGATTTTTTTTTATTAGGTTAGGGTTGCGTTTTACTATATCTGTATTGTTGTTTTGTTGAATTTTTCTTCCTTTCTGTATATTTTTATTAAGTAAAAGCTGGGAAGTAAATTTTGACCAGAACGAAAAGTTGAATTAGTAGATTAACCTCATCCCCCTTTTTCACACTTCACCACTTTTTTCCATTTAGCTTAAAATTTCTGCATTTTGCTTTAACACATTTAAAGAAAAGTGTATGCCACTAGAATGTGTACAAAACGAAGAAGTTGTGAAATTTGTTGCCAAGCTCTACTTTGTGTTTTTATTTTTCCAACGAGGTGCAAATATGCATTATGTTTTTTCATTAAATTTTAAATTTACCAATTTTTGAAACATTTAGTGCTTGTTTTTTTACTAGAAATTAAATTGAAAGTTCTAGAAGGGCGCCTTCTTAAAGGAAATTTAACAATCTTTTTTTAGTCTTTATTAAACAACGAACGCTCTCCTGTGCATTTAAATTCAGCTTTTGTTACAATTTAAATTTAGCAGTTTTTGAAAGAAGTATTGTTCGTTTTTGACCAAAAATTACACTGAAAATTCTAAAAGTATGCCTTTTTAAAGTAAATTAACGGATCCCCCCCCCCAAAAAAAAAAGTTCAAGAGAGATAAGAGTAAATATACGACGAAAACCATAGAATAAAAAAAAAGAAATGTTGAATATCTCTGAAAGGGTTGGCGAATTTTGTCGTGGGAGTAGCGAATCACCCTGTATATCTTAAAAATAAACCAATTTGCATGATGGAAAGAGGTTTTAGAAATGCAACTTGATGGACGGAATTCTGATAAAACCCAACTTAACTAAGTATCATATATTTCTTAAATAAACAAGTACATTTAGTACAGTAAGCATTTTGCTACTACTGCTCGACTGGTGGATTACGCACATACTTTCATTTTCCAGACGTTTTATTTCTATTTGATTTTTACACAGCATACCATGAACGTTTTCATTTCCTGCTTAATCATGCCGAAAAGTCTCGATAGAAGGAAAAGGATCAGAGAAAAGTGCGTTGAATGATTTCTAGAAGACGACCGTTCTATGATAATGATGAAGCGACTTAAAGAGTTGAACTTGGTTTAAAGGAACCTTGTTCATAAATTTAACCAAGTTTGGAGAAAGGAGCATTGAATGATTTGGAGAAGCCGACCATTCTATGATAATGATGAAGTGACTTGGAGAGCTAAACTTGGTTTATAGGAACCTTGTTCATGAATTTAACCATGTTCAGAGGAAAGATCGTTGAATAATTTGGAGCAGACGACGGTTGTATGATAATGATGAAGTGACTTGATGAGCTAAACTTGGTTTACAGGAACCTCGTTCATGAATTTAACCAGGTTTGGAGAAAGGAGCATTGAATGATTTGGAGGAGCCGACCATTCTATGATAATGATGAAGTGACTTGATGAGCTAAACTTGGTTTACAGGAACCTCGTTCAGAAACGTATCCAGTTCAGAAAAGGGAGCGTTGAATGATTTAAAGGAGACAACCGTTTTATTTAAATGATGACTCAACTTGACGACATGAACTTGGTTTACCGGAACCTTGTTCATAAAAGTAACGAAGTTCAGACTAGACAGCGTTGAATCATTTCGAAAAGAAGACCATTTTATGATAATGATGACGTGATTTGAGGATTTGAACTTGGTTTACAACTGCGTTCATTAGTTAACCAAGTTAGGAGAATGGAGCATTGAATGATTTGGAGGAGACGACCGTTTTATGTTAATGTTGACTCGACTTGATGATTTGAACTTGGTTTACTGGTACCTCGTTCATAAAAGTAACGAAGTTCAGACAAGACAGCGTTGAAACATTTCGAAGGGACGACCATTTTATGATAATGATGACGCAACTTGACGAGTTGTACTTGGTTTACAAAAACCGCGTTCATAAATTTAACAAAGTTCAGAGGGACCATCGTTCTTAGAGGGTGAGGCCGCGAATAGATGAATATTAATAAATACCCAAATGAAAATGCGTAAAAATTAGAAATGTTCGAAATTCCTATTGCTGTTGAGAAAAGCAAAAGTCGTCAAAATTCACAATATAAAAAACAAGAAGGAAAATTAATTACGCTTTCAAATTTTATGGGTCAAAAGTTGAATCAAGATAACGCCTACTTCACATACAGTTTATGTTATGAAATGAACGTTGCTTAAAGCTAAACAGGGTTTAACTCAAGCTCAACTGACGTTCAATGTAAAACCGCTTTCATTATTTGAATTCGGCTCAGGATAAATTGAAAAAGGATTTTGAGAAAATCAGTCTCAAACTGGCATACAAATTCAAAATAAGAGCGCGAAGCTTTCGAACGGTCGAGAAGCTTACATCTTACTAACCTCTAACAGAATCCAATAATATGGTTCATGCATATTCATGTTGAGAAGGATCTATCCACAGGTTATTGTACGTAATATTAGACAAGCATGAATTATTACTATATGACATTCAGAGAAACTGAAGGTTTCTATGATTAATTATACAATATTGAACAAAAAATACCATAAAATACAAATCATTGCTGTTACTCAACGCCTCATATCGTATTATATTGGAAATTAAAGACCCTACAGGTTGAAAGATGTCCTGATTTCTCTCGAGTGAGTGAAAAAATCTAATATTTAATCTATGAAGCTGTCATATTTAATGATATTAAAAACTAATAAAGACAACAATCACATAAAATAACAACACAATAATTGTAATATCAAAAATTTGCCAATGTTATACTATAATTAATAAAATATGTTTATTGAGTTACACATTTGAAGACAAAACATTAAAAAATGTTAAGCAATAGTAACATTAAAGCCTGGAAACATGTCTCCTTATGCAAGAACTGAAATTACAATGCTATCTAGTACCTCCATTTCTATCTTTAGAACGGTTATGTTTCCTGGTAATTTGAAATTTAAAATATGAAACGTTTAATTTTTTTATCAACGCTTTCATATAAATATCTTTAGTTTCATTACACGTGAATACATACGTATAATATACGTCATTTTTTACAATTAATTAAGGTTATTAGTTGAGATCAAAAAGTCAGTGTCATGAGTGAGATTCGAACCCACGATTTTAGGCTAGATACGCCGCTGCTCTACCGCTTGAGCTATCGTGACTTCGATCCACTCGGACACTAACTTCCCATCTCAACCCCACCTTTCGAAATTTCCTTCCTTTTTGCAGTAAAATGGTGGGGTCGAGATGGGACAGCTCAAGTGGTAGAGCAGCGGCGTATTGAGGCAAAGTACTAGCTACCACCTAATAAGAGATATTCTAATCGGGCATTATACATTTTAAACAAAGTGCGATTGATTGATTATATGAATAAATTGCGTCTGTTGTCGTAGCTCATTGATGAACATGCAGATTGATCCATTTCAAATATGTAAGTCCACTTTTTAGCCATGCAGCGTTGTCAGTAGTAGTACAACCTTCTTACGTTTGTCGTCAGACTTCTTCATTTTTTTTTGGGGGGGGGGGAATTTTATACATTTGTTATTTTGTCAGGTT